TAAACCAAATATAAATTATTTCGTTATTGAATCTAAATTAAATTATAACAAAAAAATTGAATTAAAAAATTACACAAAAATAAGAATTTTAAATAGTTGATTTGATACTAATATCGATATATTTTTGTCAAAATTTTATGATATTTTCAAATTTATATTTTATTCAAAAATAAAAAAATCATCGTTTTTTCAAAATCACATAAGACCATACTATAACATCGACTGATATAAATAATAATATGAAATATTAAAATTAAAATGTATATCGTTGCATTGCACGGGTACCCTTCTAGTATCTATATAATACGATTTTATGTGGTTTTGAGAAAACGATAATGTTTTTATTTTTTAATAAAATATAACTTATAAATATCATAAAATTTTAAAAAGAGTATATAATATTAGTATGAAATTAGCTATTTAAAAGTTCTTGTTTTGGATAATTTATTTAATTCAATTTTTTTATTAAAATTTAATTTTACGTAACGAAGTAATTTAATTTAGGTTTAATAATATAATTTTTTTATAAAGATAATAATTAAGTATTCTGTTAGAACTCAATGATTATCCTAATTTTGTTTTAGATATTTTATATTTAAAAATGAGATGTTTATCATGTATTTGATTATKYTTATCTGTAGTTAGTTACACGAATTCAAACATGAAGCTTTAATAAGTTGTAGTTATGCACAATTTATTTGTAATCTTGAATTTTAAGTAATATACATCAATAAACAATATTTTGTACATAAAAAAATGGTATTTAAGAGTTTTTGTCAACTACTTTATAATATAATATAAATTACTAAAAAATAATTTCAATTTGTTTTTCATTTTCTAATTGATATTTTTTGTAACATCCGTTGATAATTCTTGAGCGAAAATTTATTTTAGTAATGGATCACCATCAGTTTAATTAGTAATCTTTTAAAAACCCGTTAATTAAAAAGTCTGTATATTGAGTGAGCCCTCGATATTCACCTATCGGAAATTGGTTGTTGGTGAAGCCTTTCGGAACCCACAAACCATTCCGACTGGCGGTCAGAATTTCTTCGAATATGTCCTTGAATTTWTTCGAGATGTGAGTAAAACTCAAATTGGAGAAAAATATGGTCAATGTCCACATTTGTAATGGATTTCTTTATTATGATTGTTACAAAGATTTTCGTTATATAAATGTCAAGGACTCAAATGTGGAAATTATCGTTCTCTCACCTAATTTCACCACATCCATGTGCTTGTTTGTTCCACATCAATAACCTCATCGGAAAAGACGTTGTGTAGGTCATCTTTCTACGTTTGGGAGAGGTCGGAGATGGAGACCGGTGAAGGGGAGAGGGACGGGATGTATATCAACGGCTTTGCATACATATATAGTTTATATAATAATATAATTTCTTTTTCCGTTTTGAAGTAGGAAAAAGATTAAAATAATAGGCAAAAAGCCCAAATTTCTCCGACTTAGGTATTGTTTACTAAATGTTTACCGAGTAAACATTTATCAGTAAAAGAAATTACCTCGCTTACCTTATCATGTAATGCTTTTGCATATCATAATGGTCATTAGGTAAGCATCTTAAACTCGTTAAGCATTTATCAGGTAAGAGTTTTTCTCAGTTACTAGATAAGAATCTTGGTCCTTGTTATATCTTTTTACCGGATAAGATTCTCAGTCTTTGTCATGCTCAATCAATAAAGTAAATAATATAATGAATAAATGTTTACCCCGATAAACATCTAGTAAATGGACTCTTAATCGAGTTAACAAAGTTTTTTTTAATGGCGTTGGTTATAGAAATCATGCATTTTGTAAAATGATGATTTTAAAGAATTTTATTTTGCAACGAATTTTCCTAAAACCTTTTCCAAAATATATAGAATAGAAAAATAAAAGTAGAATTTTCGATTCTTTAGATAATTCCCTACAAATAAATTCTTAGAAGCTGAGAAATGATACCTTCTTATTCTGACTAATAAAAGTTTTATAGAAAAAAAATATTTTATTAAATATATAAAAATTATAGTATAATTAATTTTGTAATCTAAAAAGTAAAAAGTTGTTGAAGTCGAACGTAAAAAGAGTTTAAAGAGATTTTAATTTGACTCTTGAATTCTTAATAATCTATTGAAAGATACGATTGAGTATTAATTTTGGGAGGAGGTTTAGTGATTTACGAGTTGTTTGTTTGGTTCTTAATGGTAACATTAAGAGGAAACCTCTTAATCGGTAAGAGATATGGACTGTTTGGCAAAAAAAAATGAACATTTTAGTGATTACAAAACCCTCTTAATGATTTTGTGTCTAGGGCTCCACTAAATGATTCAGATTTCAATTGTTCCAAGTTTGCCTTCTCTTCCAGCCGCTCCTCTTCACGCCACCTTCCCAAATCCCACGATCGCCTTCCTACATCTTCGATGTTCGTCTCCACCGTCTCCGTCGTCGATCGTCACTGCGCTATTTTCTTATGCAACCATTTTTAACAAAAGATATTGGTTGCAAGATAGCAGGAATCTTACCATTGAGAATAAGATGGCTATATTGTTGACTTCTAATGATAAGCATTTATCGAATAAGAATTTAGGTAAACAATACGAGACAAATTCACAAGTGAATAGAAAGATACATATGGTTGGGTGGTAGGGGGCATGGGCATGATAGTAATATTGTCCATCCGTGTTTATTACAAAAACACGTGAGGTGCGGCACGTATGCACCTCGATCACTTTCTCTCTCTTAAAACTTCTAACAGAACGGATATTCTCTCTCTAGAAGTATCTGAGAGATGATTATTATTTGCAGAAACCTTCTTTGTTATGATCATGGCGCTTCACGTAAATCCTTCTTCCTTTTCTCTTTAATTCTTCAATCTCCGGTTATTCAACACTCTGAATGTATCTCGATTGTGAAGAACAACCTACAACGTGTTAATTGCATTTGCAGGCTGTTAAACCAACTCGCTAGCTAGGGTTTCGATTATAAACCAACTGCGTTTTTTTAAAAGGTACACTAACTTTTTCTCCATCACTTTACTTCAATTCGTGTGTAGTTGATTGAATGTAGTATTGATTCGTATTGTTTTTATTTATTGATCTATTCTTGATGTCCGTAGTACAAGACGAACTTTAACATTTTGAATTTAATTCTTTTGAAAATAATAGATTCGGGAGTATTTGAGTATTTATGTAAGTTATCGATTGCAGCTTTCGTGTCTTGATTTATCTGATATCCTTCTATTTTTGAATAAATCCACGGAGTCAATGAGCTTAGTAAATGCTTGTCTTCCTCCTTCTAAGGTTTTTTAATTCATCTTATAGTCAAACCATTGCAAATCATTCAACGACTGTATTTTTTTTTTGTGCCTTTTTCGGCGTATTCTTCTTTGCTGTATATGCACATTCATGTGCTATATGCATTGATGAACACACACAGAGATCTGCTTGTGTGTGCATGTGATGTGTTGAAGTGTGTGGCTGCGAATTAGCGTGTGATGTCGATATCTTCTTATTTCTATTCATATATGGAAGTATGTTGTTTAATAAAATTTATAGCTGGATTTCGTCTAATATGATATGCAAAATTCTAAAAACACGGTATTTTTTTTTCTGTATTTTTCGTAGATAGAAAGTAAATCTTGAGATCACCAAACCTATCATAAAATTCATTTTTCTTGAAAAATATAAGCATCATTACATATGAAGAATTGATTGCATGAATATTTATGCAAACCTATTAATCTTTTCCTTTCTATATTAAACGTTTTACATTTTGGAATTTAACACTTCAATTTTACAGCTTAACGGAGAGTACGTGAAGATGGAGACTTACCATCGCAAACGATCAAAAAGAGCCCCCATTAGCGCTAACCATGTAAACACACTCTCTCTCTCTCTCTCTCTCTCTAAAAGCCTGCTATGGTGCAATTAGGACATGGCATTGCGTTGCATTATAATCAGAATTTTGCTTTTTGATCAGTTACAGTAATCCGTTTTGCGCTCTCTCTCTCTCTCTCTAGACTCCAACCCACGCTCCTGTGCCCCACGCGCTATTTCTTTTATCATGTTATTGTACAGCAAACAGAAAAACCAAAAGATCTAGCCTGGTAATAATCAAATGAACAATAGTGTATATATTCTTCTTTCTTTAAAAAAGATAGGTATATATATATATATATATATATTCCTATAGCAGTACGCGCGTGTTCGTTTGTGTGTATATATATATATATATGTTTATATGTATCACTGTTTAATTAATAGAGTGAGAGGAGAGAGATGCATGGTCGTGGTATTGAAAAGCATTAGTGGGTGCAGGAGATAATGAGCTTGAAAAGGCAAGAAACAAGCAGCGTACTAGACGGCGGACCAACACAAATATCACCTTTGGCCAGACAACTTCTGCTTGATAGCAACGGTATGTAAACCCAATGTATACTACTCTATTGTTTCAAATTTATCCTCTATATATATCATCACGGCATCACCACATCCACACTCGAATTATTTCTTTCTCGTTTCTCGAAAATGGCTGGTCATCATGACTTTATGTGTAAAACAGATGAAGTCCCAGATGAAGATGTTGAACTAGGCTCAGTTTACGAGATATACCACAAAAACCTTCCTCCGAGAACCCCTCTTCAGCTGCGGTCCACTCGTGTTGTCATGGTAATCAAGTACTTAAAAAAATTGAAAACAAAAACACAAACGCTTTTATTGATTAAATAGAATGAAGGTTTTGTCGAGTGCTAATACAAATGGCTTCGGTCTGTTGATGGTTTTCAGGTAAGTGAGAAGACAGACATGAATGTTGCTATTAGGTATCCGAGCATTCTGTCATTGCGCACTTATTTTAGCAATGGAATATCGGAGATGTACCCGGCCTTAGATGAGAAGTTTGTGATGGGAATAAAGCTTGCCGGCAAAGTGCTTTTACGGCAAGTCCCGTCTCAAGAATTCGCAGAGAAGAAGCATTTGGAGGATTTCTGGCTGGTGAACCCTAGCTCTCAAGTTATGAATAATGACATTGGATTGGCGAGAGAACTGAAGAAGAATGAGATGGTAAGATGGGGTGTAAGAAGGCAAGTAGTGTTTATTGGGAGACACAAAGAAATGAGCAAAACCCAATCTTCTTCAAGCTTCGTTAAAGGTGAAGAAGAAGTGAAAGATGAACAAGAAATCAACGATGATGAATTTGAAGAGGAGGAAGAAGTTGATGACCAAGAGGAGAAGGATGATGAAGCTGAGGCTGAAGAAGGAACCCAAGATGATAATCTTAAAAGAAAGCTGAAAACTACCAGAAATTTGAGAAAAAGAAAGCGGGTTAAACAAGTGAACCAATTATGGCAAGTAAATAAAAAGCCTCTGAAGAAATGCAAAAAATTAGCACTCAGAGATCCCACAGATAGATGGTCAAAGGAGAGGTAAAGAAACAAGTTGCTTCTTGAAGTACTTCTTTCATATATAATTATTTTAGGCAGGATGGATGTATGACCATTAATTAATTAAGGTACATGGCTGCGGAGCAAAGTCTTCTAGAAGCGATGAAGGAAAAAGAAGCAATGATCGGCAACCCAATTACAAGGCCGGCGCTTAGAGTTGAAGCACGTAAGAGGATAGGTGACACTGGGCTCTTAGACCACCTGCTGAAGCATGTGGCAAACAAGGTGGCTCCTGGTGGGCAATTACGGTTCCGGCGGTCGCATAATGCTGATGGTGCTATGGAATACTGGCTGGAAAGTGCTGATCTTCTTAAAATCAGGAAGGACGCTGGAGTGAATGACCCTTTCTGGACCCCACCACCTGGTTGGAAGCCCGGCGATTCTCCTATCCAGGATCCCATTACGGCAAAAGAACTCAATCATCTGAAACAAGAAATTTTAAATATTAAAAGGTGCCAATCAACCAATTCCTATTGCTTTGATTTATATATTTATATTTCTATTTGCAAAAGAAGGCAGGCTTGTAATTAACTAATTTGAAGATTTAGTTGTTGGTTTACAAATTAATTATACATGCAGGGAGTTTTTATCCAAGATGCAATATGAGGAAGAAGTGGCAAGACTGAGAAGGTCGGAACCAGATAATTAAGATACATGCATACTTGCGTGGTTTCAGTTACTTACTTAGACCATGCATTAATTAATTGTGTGTATAAACAGAGAGATCGAGGAGTTAAGTTGGAGGAATAAGCAAGTTCAAATGAGTCATCAAGCTCCTGAACGCGTTGACACCAGTCCAAAGCAACTGGTCGATCTTAGAAATTCTTTGCTTCCTAACTCGGAATCTGATCATGTAGATTACTCAAGGGTACAATTGTTTTGTTAGTTTCTCATGACTTATGTGATTTATTCATTCATGTGCCTTGATCATGTTTCTTTCTTTGGCAGGAAAAATTCATGAAACAAATGTTGGTCATTTCAGATTTCCTAAAGAAGGTAGAGGTGAGTCGGTCAAAAACACAATTAATATGCTTTACGTACGTAGTATACAACTAATATGTTGATTAGTCAAAGATTTTTTAAATGTCTAATTAAAAGATAAGAAATTAATGAGTAGTAAAATATTTTCCATAATTGAAGTTTGAAATTCTAAAGCATGGTAACAAATGACGAAGCGAGGGTAGATAGGACAAAAGATTTAATTAAGCCTTGATGGTTTACATGTATATGGTCTTGTCTTTTACAACATTTGACTTTATTTTGCCTATATATATCTATAACAAGGAGAAGAAAAGATATATATGATGTAGCTAGCTAGGAGACAGTACATGTAACTGGATTTGAACATTTGGAAATATGTGTACATATATAGGCATGGATGGAGAGAGAGGGTGGTAAGGAGACAAGCAGAAGCGCAGAATTAATTACGGTGACAGCGACGTCCTCCGATGGTGAAAAAAGTTCAGAACAGCCAAAACAGGATGATATCAAGGAATTAGCTGAGGTGGAGACATGTGGAGGGAAATCAGCAGCTGAGGAAAAAGCAGCCAAGATAGAGAGGCTTAAGAGCGGGTTCAGACTTTGCAGGCCACAGGGTACTTTCTTGTGGCCAAACATGGTGATGAAGAACCCCACCACCACCACCTCTTGTACTACGAGTACGTCTTCTCAGGTTGTGGTTCATCAGGTTGAGGTGGTCCCAACTCCACCTTCTGTCAATTCTTCCTCCTATCTCCACCTTAACCACCAGCTTGCCTCACCTCCGGTGAAGCCTGTGCCGGAGAGACGGTCAGTCAGCGTCACTCGTATCTCAGGAGAAGCCAAAAATCCATTGCAAGATGAGTCTAGCACCAAAGATAATAATACGACAGGCCTCATCAACCTCAATGACATCCCCTGCACAAACCCATCTTCGACTTCACAACCAGAGTCAGAGACTAGTTGTCGTCATGTGAGTAGTATACGTATACTAATTGTGAAATTAATTAAGTTGAATTTTGTATGTACGTGATATTATGTTTGATATCTGTTATTGAAGTTGGAGGTGATGAAGAGTGAAACATGGGAAGCAGCATACAAGAAGAGCCATGAACAGAAAAGGATAATCACCTCATCCTCTTCATCATGCTTCTCCAACACTACTCCAGCTTGGCTAGCACCTGACTCTGCTCAACAATGGCTCTAATGCTCTGCTGCTATAATACTTTCTTTCTTTCTTATAAAAACAACTATCCATCCATCAGGCTACAAAGATATGATCATTTGATGGATGGTATATATCTGAAACCCATTTTTTGGCTTTTTGGATTAATTCCCATGCATATTATATTGTAATGCATGGATGGTGATTCTATACTATATGCATTAATGCATGCATGATCAGTACGTACTATAACTATATGATGGGTTGTTTTTTTCTTTTAAAGAAGAAGAAGATTATCATGTTGATAAAAATGAATTATATATATATATATATGTATATATATATATGAATTGTTGGGACCAAAAAGCTTTCTTTTAATTAATCCCAATGCCTGCCTTGTGTTAATTTCCACTTTAATTATTATACATATTTATATATATATATATACAAGTCATGTGTAACATCATCATCATAACATTCTTCTAGTACTCTTCCACATCCAAATTAAAAACCTAATACATCCAGCAAATTGATAAACCAAAAGATATGTGTGGGTGTGGGTTTGGCTCCACCAACTCATGATTCACAATCTTTGTTTAACAGCATCATCCTCTTATATAGATAAATTCAAAATCGACGAAATAATCGAAATTCATATATATAATATAGGTGCGATCAACTATTAAATTAATAATGAAGCTCATAATTAGGAACCTTCACTTCACCAACCACCTCATTCTCATTACAGCCTTCCTTGTCCCATGACAACCAAATCACAAACTCAATCAACAAGCATAACTTTTTGCACAAAATATAATTAACTAATTTTATATATATATATATATATATATATATCTTACTGATAAAAAGAATTCACATGATATGATGGGTTGATTTTCATTTTTGCATGTGTTACAATATAATTTAATTTTTTTTGACATCCATATCATTAATATTTACAAACTCTATAGGTGTGTACCTACATCTATTAAAATGGAAAGAAATTACTGAAAATCTATTACACTAAAATATATATATATATATATATATATATATATATATA